TCACAAATTGTATGAAGTAAGAATATTATTGTTTTAAGTGTGGCTACATGCCCCTGTCATGCAGTGCTCTAATTCAGGCGGCAATTCGGGGTTATTTTATACTGAAAAGGGAACTACAATGTTCCAATGCCGTCCTCTTCTTCTGAATTCTGTAACAGAATGTACAGATTTCTCCTCCTTTGTTTTATGCAGCCCTCAGTGTTCATTACTGCTTCCACATTATGAAATGTTTCCACGAGGCCACCTCTTGACATGCAACCACTCACCACAATTTTCACTGGGGTTGTTTAACTCTGATGAATATTTCACGAACCCACCTCCTACATTGATTTCCAATAATGAAATATAGACTTCTGTCACTAGAATTTATTTCCTGGCAGTCTTAAACACCTCAAAAACTCACGTTTTCGTCCACTTCAGTTCTCATGTGCGTTGAAATGCGCCTGTAATCAATTTTAAGCCGATCACAGTGGCTGCGAGGTCTAAGGCATAAACTGTCTTCGCTCGCTAGAACACTGGGATCGTGGGTTCGAATCCTACTCAAAGCATGGATGCCTGTATTGTTTGCGTTTATTCTGTGTTAGTAGCGGCTTTACGACTGGTTGATCCCCCGTCCAAGGAGTCCTACCGACTTCTAAATTAAGAAACTGATGTGAATTGAAGCGTTTCACGGATGCCTTATGCTCCAATCGGGAGCAACGGTAGTACAGATATAGATAGAATCAATTTTAATAATCTCCTTGTATTACGACTTCTAGCTAAACCCTGCTGCTGGTTAATAATACTTTCAAATCCAAGAATAGGTCTGCTTCATGTCAGAAATCAAAAGGTGATGCAGAAATTTCGTCATCCTGTGAAGACATTTTCTGTGGTTGAGCACTTCTCATTTTGCGAGAAACGTATCTTATGTCAGTGAGTGTTTCAAGTGTTATTAATTTTTTTTACAATGGCTCTTCCAGCCCATTCAGGTCCCTGGCGTCTTATTTAGATCCGTAATCATTTTTTTTTCACAGACGGTAGGGCTCCTTGGACGAGTGATCAGCTCGTCGCCAGGCCGCTACCTCTAATCACCGGACAACAAAGAGACAAAAATAAACGAATACAGATATCTATGCCTCGAGGGGGATTCGAACCCACAATCCCAGCGTTCCAGCGAGAGAAGACAGTTCATACCTTAGGCCGCTCGGTTACTGTGACCGGCTGAAATGTTATTACCGAAGTATACAGCATGCATGACATTTTGAAATCATGTTCTAGCTCTTTAATTTTCAGTTATCTAGTCTGCACGTCATCATATGTCTCAATGAGAGGCAAGCTTTTTGAACTCTATTTTCTTAATGGAATTTTAAAATTTTAATACTGACGTTACGGAATGAACGTGATGAGGAAGAAGGCAAAAGGCTTCTTGTTTGTAAATATATAAAATCGTTCATAAAAATAGTTTCGCGCGAAAAGTTTAAACTATGATGGAAATAAGAAAAATCGTGTTTTTTTAACACTAGATTGTCTGTACAGAAGACTGCGAGGTCTTCATAGCGCACCGCCACCTTCATTCGCGAGTATAATGGAACAAGATACTATATTATTTCTGTAAGAAGTACATAACGGTGATGAAAACTTCAGAGCACTGGGAGGAGTTCCTTATTGTTATGATAGACACAACGACGGAACATAAATTGAAATTCGATACAGACCACTGTGAGATTGACAGGTAGAACAAAACGTTATTCATAAAATCAGAATTAATTTTTATGTTAGAATAATTCTGTAATGTCAATGAAATTGTAGCCACAATTTCTATATTATAATAATAATGTCATGAGTTATGGTTTCGTGACCAATAAAAAAGGGTTTTGGATTGGATGACTGCAGCTATTAACATCTTCTTTTACAATCACTCTTAATCAAAATCAATCGTCAGGCTACCTTGGCTGCCGAGGACTCGCTCCATTCCAGTTCTCACTCTGAATTGATCTGTTTCTGTACAACTTATATAGTCTCTAGGCGGACACATAGAGAACTCGTCCATTACACACAATATCGCTTGATATTATTAGTTTCTCTGAATCATATTTTACAAGCATGTACCAAACCTTTTACAGTGTTACTGGATCAGTGTTCTCATTAACTACAAATGTGTATACCTCGGCTAACTTTAATTTTCTTATGTAATTGGTATTAATTTATTAGGCTTGTTATTAATTTTATCCTATCACTCCCAGTTGTCTTATCTTAGTATCTAGTTGCTAATAGTATTAGCAACATTCATAATAATTCATAATTCATAAATATATGTATACAAGTATATTTAAGTCTTCTTTAGATTTATGCTCACTGATTTATTTCTGTCATATTTGTATTGTATTTGATTATTTTTCTGTATCTTTATAGACTCGTTCTAACTTTGTAATTGGCCACTGTGCTGTTAAGTTATTGCACGTAAATAAACATGAATTGAATTGAATATTATTATTAACACAATTACTGTTATTTCTAAAAGCCCCCTGGTTTTATTTTCTCAGTTTTATATCAGCTTTCGCTCTCCACGTGTCCTAAATGTACGTAATTATTTATTTACATGGTAAAAATCGTAACAGCACGTATTCGCCAGTAAGGGTTATCCACTATATTATTGCAGTTGTTACTGTGTTGAAAATTAGTGTCATGGTAACAAGCACTCTGAACATAATGACAGTAGCCTAATGACTATTAATATATACTTCATTTGAGGTCAAAATTCCCAGTGAAAGTACCCCCCATAAATTCATATCCTCTCGAAATCCTTCCAACATAATCGACGAAAATTAACGAAAATTTGTACTTAATTAAGGCTCTGATGTTTGACACGGCTCTCATACGCCTCAGATCAATATCATCACTAAACCCTTGGAGTCGAAAATGTTACTTGCAAAAATGGTCTTCTTGTTACTACTCTAAAATGTCAAACTATATGGCTCGAACAGTCCTTAATATTAATCAGTGAATTTTGAAACGTAAAATGTGCCACAAAAAACGAGGCAATAAACAGAGCACTACTGGAAGTGGAGTTAAATTGGGCACCTAAACAAGTACCTGAATAAGCAACTCATTCGCAGAACCCAGTTGGCGCGTGGTCTACTGCATGAACTGAATTCCCTCTCTCGAACACTGGGATCGTTGGTTCCAGTCCCACTCAAAACATGGATGTCTGTGTTTGTGTTTTCCTGTGTGTAGGTAGCGGCCTTGCGGCGGGTTGACCACTCGTCCAAAGAGTCCTATGCACTACGAAAGAGACCACATGATGAAAATGGGACGAATAGAAACAAATTGGTTCTGTTCGTTAAGGTACTTGGGTGGAGGAGGTTTTGGCATACTTAGAGCTACTTATCCTATAACGCAACTGACAACAATGAGAAGGAAAATCTGTGAACATCACCGTAGTTGCGGAAACTGCGGTGCAACAAACGTGTAGGGCCTACATAGAAAGACTGATCCATCCCTCGTCGAGAGGAGGTCCCATTTCGAAACACGTGCATGTCTAAGTGAGAACAATCGGGAGGAGCCTGCACCTCGGAATCACTGTGCTGGCTAAGTCCTGTCCTCGTCGGAAAGGACGCACCACATCAATAAACCCGCAACCGTCTGACAGTAACAAAACCTGGTCTTGGGCCCCAGAGGAGAGTTTGACACCAAGACAAACTGGCCGACTGACCGACTGTCTTAACATAACTTTGACTCTCAAATGAGTTAGTTGTGGGAGAGTCGCCAGCCGGTAATAGGGTGAGCACGGAAGCAGAGGAAATTACTGGGATCCGTCATCAAGTAACGACTGGTGAAGACAGACTGATAAGACTTAGTACGTGATGTATTGAACTGAAGATTGTGTGAACTAGTGAAGCGATTATAATTACACTTATAGTCACGAATGTACAAGAGTCCAGTAAATCCAATTACCAATTCAAACCCCAGCTATAGTCACTTAGAGGTTAATGGGGAAATTTCGGAGTTCAAGTGCAAGAAATTGGCGTAAACAAATTATATTTAGAAACGTAATTTTGTATAACTGGGCATTCGTGCAGTTAAGAAAATAAATAGGGGTTTTGGCGTAAGTGCAGATAAGAATATAGGACTACATTTTCTTTTATTTTAAAGTGAATGATTAAAACCGGCAGAAAATTTCGTTTGCAAATACTTCGAATACTCTAAAGTTGGCAGACATAATGAAATCAATTTTTAATTCCCTGCTACAAGAAAAATAACACGGCGCCTGCGAGAACTGCTGAACTGGGGATAAACTGATTGCTTTTGTACTGAAGCATAAAAGTTGACTTGCAGGCACGTGTTTTAGGGAGCGCTGCTGCCGACAAACACACCTATTCCCTTCACATCAAAACCAAGGTTGCTAAACCACAAATTAACCAAGGCTTTGTGATGTGGAACCGTGTGGTTCCCAGACCACAGAGTGAGGGTCGGTCGTGCTGATTTATTCTGTCTTACAGACCGTTTTGTTGGCAGTGTAATTAACCGAGCTACTCTCTGCGCCTAGGTGAATCGGTGAAACGCAGCGTGTGGAGATGGGGGTGGATTTCACCCGGCTTCCGTTTTAAATGGTAACAACAGATTTTTCAAGAGGATAAAGACGGCCGGAATGTGGAGTTCACTACCAACCATTATACTGCGAAATGTGAGAACACATCAGACCTATCTTGCACATTCCTTATATACATTCAGAGCCCCAAATCTGGTACCTCTGCTTATTGTTGTTGCAACAGAAATAGATAATCCATTTGTTACGAAAAATGACTGGCGATTATGCAAAATCAATATTATGAATTATGCATAATTCTCCAATATTATTCATAATTATTAATTAACAGTTACAGTAATATTTGCATAAGTTAATGCCGCCGAAGTTGGCCCGGCCTGCGATTTGACCTTGGTTGTAACTGGCAAGCAAAGCAGTAGAGTACAGCACGTTACTGGAGAGCATGCAGCTATGCAGGAACGAGTTCCCGCTTGCTGACATGCGCAGTTTCTCTTGTTTTGTTGGCGAAGGACGCTTCGTAATTCCGGGCAAGAAACTTTCCTCATATCACACTTAATCACAGGTAAACAATTATTATCAAATGTAGAATGAAAGCTTACTTATATTATTATCACTGTAGAATCCAGTAACTCTTTCTGGAATAGCTCGTAGCAATGCCGAATACATGAGAAATCATGTGATTCCTTATATCGCTTAACTGGTATTGCCAGTTATGTTAACTGGATCAGTTTCCGATATGTGACTGTGCTCAGCGTCGAAGGTGTGTCCACGAAGAATGAATCGGGATTAATGCACACGACACAATTCCCAATTTCGTAAAACTGAAATCAACGTAAATTTCAAACACGAATTTGTGACTTATTCATTTAGTAATTTTGCTTCTAAATTTATAATGTATATTTCATTTTGAACCAATAACGTAGGCCTAATTTTGTAATGAATAAATAGTTCTTAAACTCCTTTTTACTGTTCAATACATATACGGGCGAGTCTTTTTTGGACCTATTGGATGCCAAAGTAAGCTTATTTTTTTTAAATATCCTGTGTCTCTTCTGTGGCCTACAACCCCTGAAATATATTTATAATTTCTATATGTCTGTCTATATTCACCTGTGACAACATTTCGGAATTCTATGCGTAACAAAAGTAACCCATTTTGACTCCAAATGAGCTAAGGAATATTCCCTAAAATAATTTTTGGAAAGTAATGATTTCTTGAGCCGAACATAATGGCCACGCAGTCTAAGGTATGAACTGCCTTCGCTCTCTCGAAAGCTGGTATCGTGCGTTCGAATCCCAATAAAAGTATGAATGTCTGTATTGGGTGGATTTGTTGTGTGTTTATGATGTGCTATGTGTAGTTAAGAGGCCTTGCGACGGCCTGATCCCCCGTTAAGGGAGTCATACCGACTCTGTATATCATCAAGAAACTAAAAAAGTGGCTAGGATGCACGGCATGATCCCCCGTCAAGGGAGTCATACCGACTGTGTATAACATCAAGAAACTAAACAAGTGGCTAGGGCCCAGTATTTTCAAGTTGCTGTTTTTTTTTATGGTTTACTGAATATTCCGTGTTTCACAAAATTAGATCAGTTCTTGGGAGACATGCTGCATTTTAATTGATAAATTGGCGGCTGCAGAGATGAGAGAAGGACAAACCCACACAAGTAAGCGGCCTCCGTAGTCTAGAGGTAACGTTCCCACCTCATGACTCGTAGTACGCGGGTTCAAATACCCGGCGGAGGTCGTCGAATTTTTAAGGGCGGAAAAATTCAGGGAACAAGTCCTCCGGGAGGGACTTTAAGCCGTGGGTCCCGTGTCGTAGCTTTACGGCACGTAAAAGAACCTCATATCTCCAAAGGAGGTCACT